CCATCCATCCATCCATCTGCATTCATATATCCATCTAACAGTTCATCCATCCATCTGCATTCATATATCCATCTAACAGTTCATCCATCCACTCACTATATCAAACCCATTCATCCCCCACTTATCCATTCAAATCCATACATCCCTCATCTGCCCATCTATTTACCCATAGCATCACTCTCTCCCTCTTACCTTCTCTCCTTCCCTCCCTCTCCTTCACCCACTGATAATATATCTATTTACCTATAAAGTCACTTATCCCACTTCCATCTAGTATTTCTCAGAAGTCTATTCCAGTGGACCAGAGATGACTTAATTGCTGCTCACTGTCAAAGAGCATAGAGGCTTCAGGAGACACTAAGAGCACAAGAATAGTTTCTTACATGGAGGGTTAAACAGCATGGAGGAGTCAGCCCTGGCCAGAACCCTGTGTCCCTTGCCAAGTTCTTATCCCAGCCCCAGTGGAAAGATATTCAGTCTTTCCTGCCATTTCCTCTTACACGTTTCAAACTGTCCCTTGGAGCTCCAAGTTTGGCTTACAGGGTAAATGGATATATTGGCTAGTTTTACTTGACATGACTAGACAGTTATTTGGGAAGAGACACTTTTCTTGTCTTTGTTTTTAAGAGACAAGGTTTCTCTGTGAAGTCCTAGCTGCCCTGGAACTCTCTCTGTTGACAATGCTGGCCTTGAACTCAGAGATCCATCTGCTTCTGTCTCCTAAAGGCTTGATTTAAAAGCATGTACTACTACACCTGACTTGGGAAGAGGGACTTTTAATTGAAAGAATGCCTCCACAAGGTTGGCCTATAGGCATGTATGTAGTGTATTTTCTAAATGTGGGAAGGCCCAGTACACAGTGGGTGGGGCAACCCTTGGGCTGGTAGTCCTGGGTGCTATAAGAAAACAAGATGAGCAAGCCATGATGAGCCAGCTGGTAATCAGCACCTCTCCGTGGCCTCTGCATCAGTTCCTGCACTGACTTCCCTCAGTGATGGAAGGTTATCTGGAAATGTAAGACCCTTTCCTTCCCAAGTTGCTTCTGCTCATGGTGTGTGATTATAGCAAGAGAAACCAACAAAGACAATGAACTTCTGCTCAAGTCTCTTCTCAGGCTTCACTTGGACCAGGAAAGGAAGTGCCAAGACCCCATTAGCCCTATGTGACTGGAAGGGCCTGGGTGTGAAGCTGACCCTCTAGACTCTAAGCCATTCCCAAGCCCAGCACAGGGGGATGTAGTGGTTGGTTCTGAAAATCAGAACCTGATTTGGGCCTTCTGATGGAGTAGGTATGTTTAGGGCCGAGGTTGTCTGGCTTTGCCTCTAGCTGCCTGTCAGGCATTGGGGAAGACCCCCTTCCTACCCAGAGCAATGTCCCATTGTCTGATGGTTTTCCAGCTTCTGTTTTGCTATCAGAGGAGTCCTCCTAGCAGGGCGATCCACTGATGAGTAAAGACAGCAATTCTACCACATGCCAGCCACACACCAGGCCTTGAGCTGGCACCTGCCACTCACAAACTCACTTCATCCTCACCACAATCCAATCATTTCCCCCCGAGAAACAGAATGGAGAGGTAGAGTAACTTCTTTTGTTCACACAGCTAGGGAAGGGTTTGAAGTCAGGCCAGCATATGCATTTTAACCACTACTTACTTATACCACCAGCTCCTATGCTAATGGGTGTTAACCCACAGCAAAGAGAACTAACTGTATGCCAGAGCATTTTTGGAAAGACACAGAAAGACAGGCACATGGGTCCTAGGGTGATAAGCCTTGTGCCACAGCAAGGGAACTTGTTGCCCAAGAAGTGAGTGACATCCCAACTTGTGTTATAAATCAGTACCCTAGGTCCTGGCAAGCATAAAGATATTCTAATGGGACATACATGTGCCTCCCTTTGGCTTATCAGACTACTGATGCCAAGACACTGGCAATTTCCCCAGGAATCTTAGACTGGGAGAAGGGAAAAGGCAGAGTCTGGTGCTAGCCAGAGGGGAGCCAGTCTCCTGCAAGAGCTCTCACTGGTCTGACTCATCAGACCATCTTGCTGGACAGACTGGAGCCCAGACAATAATGGGTCAGTGAAGGGTGAGACCACACCCTTACAGGATGGCTTAGTTGTATATACCCCTTGCCTTCTATTTAAACAAACCTTGTGTCAGGACTTTGGGTAGGAGTGGGTCTCTAGACCTTTTTGTTCCTCTTACCAACATGGCTACACTGGGTAGACCTTCCTTTTCTTGATTTTCTCTTGTCTTTAATTGGACTCCTGAGGATAGACATCTCAATCCAAGCCTACCCCACGGTAGGCAACGCATCCATGGCCACTCCCACCACCCTGCTCTGGGAACTGCCTGCCCTCTCTGCTAAATCTGCAGGACACAATCTTTAACAGTGTCTCGGTTATTTTCAGGAAGCCTGGGGAACAGAATAAAGCACTGCTGATCTTCCCTGCCTCTGAATCGGGGTAAAGAAGTGATGGGAGATGTCAGTCTGTAAACATGTTTCTCGTATTGGTTAATGAATAAAGCACTGTTGGCCAATAGGAAAGCAAGATAGGCGGGACTAGGAGACAAGGAGGAGAGAGGAAGTAGTAGGGAGTAGATTCAAGATGTGGGACTAACAGGGTAGAACTCTGGGCCCTCTCTCCGGTAAGATGAGACCATGTGGAAATACTTAGATTAATAGAAATGGGTTAATATTTAAGGCAGAGCTAGCCAATGAGAAATACAAGTAACAGGCTAACAGCTTGATAGCTAATACAGCGTCTCTGTGTGTTATTTGGGGCTGGCGCGGCGGTGGAACCAGGCTGGCGGAAAAACTTCTCATAACAAAGAAGATAAGAATGTTGTCATTTCTGGCAGCACCCCCCCCCCCCCAGTGCTCTATCATACATGTTCTCCGACCTACTTTCCCCTTTGTCACTTTGCTTCCCTTAGCCTGCCGCCCCGGGGTGGCAGCAACACTACTCAGCTGGTGGAGGGGACAGCTGAGCCTTCTCCTCCCCTCACTAGCTCTGGCCCCATTGTGACTGACTCACAGGCTCCTCAAGGACACAGCACTTCTGGTGGCTCTTTATAGGCCCACACTAACGAGGGACAGGGCAGGCTCAGGGACAGGAGGGGGGCCGGGGCTGCAGCACAGCTGCAGAGGATGAGAAACACCCTACAGCTGGGCAGCAGCAAACATCTGGATGGGAGAAGTCTGGTTAATTACCAAGAGGCCACAGTGCTTCTGAACCAAGCAGGGAGCATGGGCCAGTTAGCTGAGTCTCATCCAGGGTGTTGTTTCTGTAACACCAGCACCCTCCAAGAGATACTGTGAAGTGGCCACCCTGATTCCCCTCTCTGAAACCAGGCTCTTCCCAGCACTTCCCCACGAGAGGGGCCATGGGCCATCCCCTGGAGCTAATCTCCTGATGCGTATATATTGACCAGTATGACAAAATGACAAAGTGGCAGCTCCCAGCTCAGGTCTCCAGAGTGCATGCACAGCCTCTGTTCTCTCAGAACCCTCTTGTCTTCCTGTGGACACACCCAGAGTAGCCTGGCCGAGGCGGTGACAGCATGCAGAGCAGAGATGAACCAGCCTGGACCTAGTACTCCACTCCACACCCCCATCAGCACAGCTGTCCACCTGAGCTGAGAGGCATGAGGAAGGCCAGGAGAGGTGGGATGAGGCTCAGCTTGAAGTCCTCAGAGGCCCAAGTCCCTCTGTTAAAATGGTGCAGTAGAACCCATGCATATCCTACTTTAATCCATCTCTTGATGACATAGACACCATGCAATGTAAATGCTAAGAAATGGCTGTTTTTCTGCATTGCCAGGGTGTAAGGACAAGACACAAAGCCTGCAAATTGCCAATGTCCATGCAACTCAGTGTTGGGCTGTTTGGTTTTGCATAAACCCTGTGTCTGGACCCTGAAGATGGACTTGGGGTGAAGTTTCTAGACCTCTTTGTTCTTCCTAATGTGACCACACTGAATGAACACTCCCCCTCCCCTTTTCTGCCTTTCTCTGTCTTCAACGGGACTACTGAGGACAAGTGGCCAAACTTGGCTTGTAGGGAGGCTGACAGGGTTCAGGCTCTGATGTACATATTTGTGTGTCTATGCATTGGTTTCTGTGTGTGGAGGTGAGTGCATGTGTGTAGATGTGCACACACATTACAGGTGGTAGCTGGAGGACATCAGGTGTTTTCCTCAGGAACCTTCCAGCATGCTGCTTGAGATGGTATCTCTCATTGACCTGGGGCTTGATAATGGGCCCAGGTATGCTAGGCCTCACATGAAGAGGTTGGAGAATAACTCTGGTTTTAGGGACTCGATTCTCTCCTTTTACCATATAAGTACTGGAGTCAGAACAGTGCTGGCTGGGCCCTACAGCAGCCCTTCTTCAACTTGAAGAGCCACTTAACGGGTTCATATACCTGGCTTTCTAACAGTGAGTCTGAGTATTGAATTCAGGTCATTGTGTTTGCAAGTCAATCGCTCTACCTGAACTGTCTCTCCAGTCCTCTCTTGCATATTTCTGAGCCAGTGGTGGCCTGGAGCCTGTTCACACTGAGTGCCTACTGTATTCAGCTGCTCTGAGATCTGACTTGGAGCAGTTTGACATGTGGTAAAAGCTAATCAATATGGCTGATGTGGCCGCACATGCCTTTAATCCTAGCACACAGGAGGCAGAGACAGATGAATCTCTGAGTCCCAGGCTAGAGCTACACAGTGAAATTTTGTCTGGAAAAAAAAGTGTTTATTTTTGAAATTGTGTGTGTGTGTATGTGTGTGTATTTTGGGGGGGGGTTCAATGGCAGGAATTAAAAATAAATATCTAAACCACAGCAATCACCAGTAATAAATAGCAATGATAGTATCTCTGGGTTTCACTAACATCGCAGCCATCTTAGAAGGAAGTTAGGAGCCGTGCTGCCCATTTTGTGAACCTCAGAATCAGCAGCTGAGTCAGATATTCCACTATGGAGGATGCTCCCATGCCCACTTACCAGGATCTTGGTGGTATAGGCGCTGTTGATGGCGATGGCGTTGACCAGCAGCTCCATGGTTTTGGCATTGATGGAGCTGGGATCAGGGATCTCCTTGTAGTGGACATCGCCTACGTAGGCCTGTACCACGGTCATGCGGTTGGTAGTCAGCGTGCCTGTCTTGTCTGAGCAGATGGCTGTGGCATTGCCCATGGTCTCACAGGCGTCCAGATGGCGTACCAGGTTGTTGTCCTTCATCATTTTCTAGAGAATGGGTAAGTGAGAGAGAGACTGAGAGGAGGAGAGGATGAGGGGAGTTTCCCAAGCCTCGGGCTCTCATTGACCTTCGGCATGTGCAAGTGACCTTTGGGCTTCTTTAGCCTCACACGTGGGTCCCCTCCTTCTTCTTTTTATTAATCATTTGGACCATTTAAAATTGGTAATTGAATTTATTCATTTTTAACACAGAAGTCACTCACATTCTGTTTTGGGAACAAGGTCTCATGTAGCACAGGCTGGCCTGGAACTAGCAATCCAGCTAAGGATAACCTTGAACTGATAATCCTCCCATCTCTGTGTGTTCAACCACACCCTGCTTTTCTGTCTATTCATCTCTCTCTCTCTCTCTCTCTCTCTCTCTCTGTATATATATATATATATATATATATATATATATTTTTTTTTTTTTTTTCTGAGACAGGGTTTTTCTGTGTAGCCCTTATTGTCCTGGAACTCACTTTTATAGACCAGGCTGGCCTCAAAATCACAGAGATCTATCTGCCTCTGCCTCCTGAGTGCTAGGTGTGTACCACCATCACCTGTCCATCTATATTCTTAATTTTTTTTAGATTTACTTTTTTTTGTGTGTATGAGTGTTTGCCTGCACATATGTATGTGTGTCACGTGTATGCATGACGCTCACAGAGGTTAGAAGAGGGCATCAGAATCCCTGGGACTGGGGTCAGATAGTTGTAAAGTATTATGTGTGGGTGCTGGGAATGGAACCTAGGTCCTCTGGAAAAGCAATAAGTGCTCTTAACCTCCAGGCCATTTCTCCAGCCACCTCATCTACATTCTTTATGGAAAAAAAATAGCAGGAAGGATTTTAAAAATTAAGACTGGGCCATCCCTAATTATTTCTAGCTTAATTTAAGTAAACACTCCTCATTTGGTTCTGAATTCCTCAAATGCTTTCCTGGTCCCTGGTGAGAGACCCATCAATTTCACCCTAAGTAGATACATTTAGGACAAATATGTGCTTACAGATACAGGAAAATATCTGTAAAAAATAGGAAAGCAATAATGTCATTATCACTAGGTAATGTAATTACAGAATAGTATTGACTTCTCCAAGTCTATAGATCACCTTTTCTATAATTGTCATTTATTATAGCATGCATAATAAAAACTAATAGTCAAAGGAGCACCTTTAGTGTTCTCCTCGGTGGTTTTCTGCCATATCTGCTTGAGACAGAGTCTATCACTGAACCTGGAGCTCTCTTCATTTTGGCTCGACTGACTGGACAGTATGCCCCAGCCACCATTCTGTCTCTGCTGAAAGCCCTGGGGATGCAGGCACATTCAGCTGGACCCAGTTTTTTACTTGGGCACCGAGAGTCTGAACTCAGGTCCCCAGGCTCACACAGCAAACACTGACACACTGAGCCATCTCCCTAGTCCCAATTAAAAAAGCAAACAATGACACAGAAAAAGGGAACTAAAGGCTAGTCAAATGACCCGGTGGGTAGTCACTTGCTGGGACCCAGATGGTGGAAGGAGAGAAATGACTCTCCAAGTTATCCTCTGACTCCCAAAGTATACTGTGGCACACACACACACACACACACACACACACACACACACACGCACGCACGCACGCACGCACGCACGTGACCCCTAACACATGTGATACAAAAAAAATGTACAACATAGGTTACTACCTATAGCACATACAGCATACATGTTTCATTTATCAACATCCTTTCTTTTTAAATTTATAGCATTACCCTCCTGGACCTAGTAGTATTTATTTCCCTCCATTCGCCTTTCTTTCTGACCCAGTTCTACACTCCTAACTTCTAGAGTCTCTTACAAGTAATGAAAATGACTTAATTCCCAGGCAGGCCTTGCAGGCATGCTGACCCCATGTGGCAAAGGAGAGTTTGTGAAAAGTCACCAGAGGCAAAATCAAACCGGAGACTGTGCCTAGGGAGTTCCTTAATTCTTTTTCCCCCACAGTAACTCTTTATTGCAAGGTTAAAAGGAGTGTAACTGGACTATTTAAACAGAGATTTACTTTGCTAAAAATGAATGTTGGTAAGATAAAATGCTATTGTGTTTCCCTTTCTTAAAATTTGTGATAGTAGCACCAGTATGTGTACAGCGAGTGGCCATCTGAGTTTGTCACCTGCTTTACAGTCTATTTTCTGGTGTTGTTTATTAGGATCCTGTGAGACCCGGGAGGAACCTGGAAATCCACTTCACAGGCAAAGTGAGCTGAGCAAGATCATACATGTGGTGAAATGAAGGCTGGAGTTTGAGCTCAGTTCCACCTAACCTCCCAGCTCCTGACCTCCCAGCTGCCCCTAAACTGCCAGCTCCTCCTGAACTCCAGCTCCTCCTAACCTCCCAGCTGCTCCTAACCTCCCAGCTCCCCTAACCTGGCAGTTCTATTTCTTTCCATCACATTCCACTCCACCTGTCCTCATTGAAGGAGCCTTGGCTCTTTGCTTTAAGAATTTCTTGTTGGAAGCCAGGTGTGGTGGCATATTCCAGCACCTGGGAAATAGAGGCAGGGGAATTCTGTAAGTTCAAGGCCACCCTGGGCCTTGAACCTCTATGACAAACAAAACAAAACCCCAAACAAAACGAACAAAAATCTCTCATCAGGACTGTCCATCATGGTAGCTGCTGGGGTGGACACTTGAAATATGGCCCAAAGTGTATAAGAGATGCTGGATTTGAAGACACTATGAAAACAGACATACTGAGGAAGCATCTCTATTGTGCTGGTTACAATGTTGAATTATTGATAATTTGGACATGTTTGTGTAAATTTGTACTATTAAGGTTAATGCTACTTGGCTTTTTTGTTTTCTTTTTGAGACAGGGTTTCATGTATTGCAGGCTGACCTTGAACTTGCTATGTAGATGGGGGTGACCTTGAACTTCTAAACTTCCTGCTCCCCTTCACAAGCATTGGGATCACAGGTATGTATTACTGTGCCTGGTTTATATAGTGCTGGGGATCAAGTACAGAGCCACATGTGTGCTAGGCAAGGGCTCTATCACCGTGCTATATCCCCAGTCACATTTTATACCCTCCTCACATGAACAATCTCTAGCCGCCACAGGTTCACTTTTTTGAGACAGACTCTCTCACTGAACCTGGAGTTTGCCATGCCAGCTATACCATCTGGCTAGCATGTCCCTTCAGGGTCTTCCTGTGTGGGTCCCCTAGGCCTGTGGTCACAGGTTCATACTGACAAGCCTGACTTTTATGTGGGTTCAGGGATCTGACCTTGGGTTTTCATACACAGCACAGCAAGCACTTTACACGCTGAGACAGTTCCCCAGACCTATTTTTAAAAAGGCAGTCACTAGGACATTTAAAATGATGCGCCTGGATTGTGCGGTGCCCCTGTTAAGAGGTGCTAACAAAAGAGCTCACCACTGTACTATTGGTGGTGGCCCCAAGGACGAGCTCAAAGGGGGAATATGGGCCTTACTGTTCATCACATGGTTTCGCCAGTCACATGCTAGAACTAAAAATTTCAGAAGATACTCAGGCCTAAAACTGTCTGCCTATGATGTCCCCCAAGCAACTCTACCAAGTTTCACAGAGTCCCTTAGCTCAGTGGTGTGGCAGTGGGGACCTACTTATGGCCACGCAAGTTAGCCATGCTAGGCCTTGAGGAGCACTGTACTATAACCTGTTCAGGCTTTGGTTTGTGGGACAGGGTTCTTTGAGAGAGGGGGCTGATAAGGGCTGTGTCCCTTACACAGAACTCCCACTCGCTGGCACTTGCAGAGAGATCACTCTCTATATGAAATTACATCGCAGAATGCTGTCCAAATTCTGGCTTGGAAACTGACGCTCACCTTGCCCTCTGGCCGAGCTGCCAAAGTCTCAGAGCAAAAGCCTTCTCAGAAACATCTTGGTGTTGGGACCCTGGGAAACAGTAGTCTATGTCCCTACCCAACAAGGTGGGGGAAATCCCAAAGGGAAAGGAAGGGCATGAGCAGATGGGACCATCTGGTAGTGGCACCATGGGCCAGACTTGTAGCATGTGGGCTTTCTGATGGCCAATGCTTCAGCAGGTATATGGACACTTAGGGAAAGCCATAGATTCACACCTGGCCAGGTAGTACATTGCTTAACTACCGTAAACCCTCCTGTGTTCTCAGCAACCCCTACCTGAGAGGTAAGAGCTGCCTGTATGGTTTTGCTAAACTTCCCCACACCTTAAGGCATGACCTGTTGGGTTTGGTGGAAAGGGGTTATGTTTTCACTTGCACAGTGCTGTCTGCATTTGGCAGTTTTCAGTGCTGTGGACTTGTGCTTGCCATTAAGTCATATATCACCGAGCTATACTGCAGCCCCATTTTATTTTGTAAGTCTGAGTTGACTGTCAATATGGATTAGGACAGTTTATATTAAATATAGATTTTTGGAGTCTTTTTGAGAAAAATTCTGAAGGTTTGGCCAGCCCAGGTTGCATGCCCATAAAGCTATTTTGGCTGCACTGATTAGTGGGGTTCCTGTGGCTAGGGCCTAACTCTCTCTCAGTTGCATTATGCATTTGGGGGACATGCTCACACACTCTCTCCATGTCCTTGTTGCAGTCACACACTCCTTAGCTCAGCTTCATGTTCTAGTATGCACCCTTCCTGGTTCTCTGACAGAACCCCAGCTGGACTACCTCAGACACCCAGTACTGCTCTCCTGTCTTACCTTCACGGAATATGCCAGTGAGATGGTGACAGCCAGAGGGAGGCCCTCGGGCACAGCGACCACCAGCACCGTTACCCCAATGATGAAGAACTTGACGAAGTACTGTACGTAGACGGGTGTGCACTCTGTCAGCCACGGCTTCTTGTTGACCACGAAGGTGTCCACGGTGAAGTAGAGCACCAGGATGATTACTGTGATGGCTGACATCACCAGGCCTGTGACATGGGGACACCTGCTCAGAGGGCTCCAGCAGAGGGGTGAGGTGTGTGCTAAACCATTTCTGGAGGCCTCTTGGGTAGACCCCCCCAGCTCATCTCCTAGTTGTACTTCTTTGCTCTGCGGCCTAGAGCAAGTCCTTGATCCTCAGGGAGCCTCTTCTGTATGAGGCCTGGGGGCAGATTTCCTGTCTGTAGTTTTGTAAAGCTCACATGGAAAAAAAGGGAAAGTGTCTAGCATGGTGTTTGACCACAAGACATTCAGTCACACTGTAAACATGTGTCAAGGGAGCAGATGAGCACATCAAGAGACACCTGTATATAATTGTCACACAATAATGAGGTAAGGTTTGAATCGTACTCATTCACTCAACAAACACCTTTGAGCACCTGCAGTATGCCAGGTGCGCGGTGTTTTCTTACCTAGGGCACAGAGATCCGGCAGTACCAAAGGCAGACACCCTGCCCCTGCCTGGCAGAGGCAGGTAAGAAACACAGTAGGGAAATACATAGCAAGAGTGCTGGGATCATAGGTGTGTGTGTGTGTGTGTGTGTGTGTGTGTGTGTGCGTGTACACCATCAAGCTTGGCTATAGTCAGATCATTATGGACATGTGTTGATTCTCTGAAGAAAGATGCCAGGAAGATGTGGCTGAAGAGGATGGTGTGCTAGAGTGGCTGCTGTAGCCAGCATGACCAGGGATGGTGTCTTGGAGGAGGTAGTATGGGGGGAGACATTGGGATATGTGGTGGTCTTGGAGTCCCAGGTGGAGGGAAGTGACTAGTTGGAGGCCACAGGGAGGGCAATGCTGCAGCCAAGGAGATACACTTGATCCTCGAGACCCCCTCCTGACAGATTAGCGTGCCTATCTCTGGCCTGCTGTGGGGACTGTGCCTACCTCTTTTCTCTGATGGAGGAGGGCTAATGGTAAGGGCTTTTTGGTGCAACTACCCCAAACAGATACCCATGGCCCCCTGGCTAATGTATAGGTTTCAAGGCCCAGGCAGCTCTGCATGGTGGGCATGCTCTGTCATATAGCTTGTGGTCTGGGGGTCTCATGGGGTGAAGCAAAGCCTAGGAATTCTTCACAGGCCTCAAGATTTTCTGGCTTTCCACCATCTCTGATACGCATTTCTTGCGTAGCAGACTCAGCCTGGAGTGCCCATCCATAAATACTTGGCCACAAAGGGTTCAGCCCCAGAGGGAGGTGGTGGGAGGCTGGAAGCTCAGGATGCCTGACTGTGAACTTTATCCCTGCCAGGGTGGTGGGAGTAGGGACTGAGGTCTTCAGAAGCCAGGAGTTTCTTGGCCCCTGAGTGCCACACACTACTGTGGAGTCACCTGCCTGTGACACAAATGGCAGTGAAGGAGGAAATCCCTGGGCTCATATCTCCCCACTCTAGCTCCAGCTGTGGAGCATCAGAGCCTAGCTCTATCCTTGCCTGACAGCGGCAGGGGCGGGAAGCCAAGCTCCCAGCAGCCCGCAGCCGAGAGAGAACAGTCACCAGGTTTAAATATAGACCACTGAGCCTATAATTTGCATCTGTCCCCTGCTGCGCTGTCTATAATTAGAAATGGAGACAGCCACAGAGGCCTCAGTAGCCAGGTGGGAGGCCTTGCCATTCATACATCCCGGCACAAGGGGAGGTCAAGGCTGTGCAGAGGGCTGGGCTCACCTTGCAGCTGGGCTTGGCTTCCTGCACTTGGAGACAGCCATAGCTATCACCTGCAGCTAACACCTCAGTTGGGAAGCCTGGCTTGCCTTGTGGGGCTGAGGTAAGTCCTTCTGCTTGGACTCCTGGCTCTGCAGTCAAGCCCTTCAGTCCACCTTCTGCACTGTGGCTAGGGCAGTCATTACATCATCATTATCAAGTCCAAATCCATTCTGATTTCACATCCTGTCCCACAAGGTCTGTCGGCCACTACATAAGCCACAGACTAGCGCTGCCCCCCCCCCCCATCCACACAGTCACCTTTAATTCTCAAAGCAATCTATCACACTGTGACAAGAATTATCCCCATTTACAGAGGAGTAGGCAGGGACTCAGAGCTGGTGAAGCTGGCAGCCCGGGAACCTCAGAGCCGTGGCTGTGGCAGTTTGTCTATAGGGCAGGGCTCCTCTTATGTGGAGCAGGGCAGGCCTCCAGGACCACTGGAATCACGATTCTTCTTACAGGTGAGGTGAAAGAGGGCAGAGTAGGGTAGGGCTTGGCAAGGAGGTCCCCGCTGTGAACTCACCCGCCTTGCCGATCTGCACAGCCAGCTTGGTGAGCTTGCCCTGAAGCACCGATTTCTCTTTCTTGTGCATGTTGGCTTTCTTCTTGTCATCCGCATCACCGCCCTCTGCGCTCTTCAGGGGCTGCATCTCCATAGCAGCTGCCCCATCCTGCTGCTTGGCTGTGGGGGCAGAGCAGGAATGTGCACACACACACACATGCAGGTCAGCCTGCAGGAGGGATTCTTAGCACCCACCCTGCCTGCCCAGGAGAAATGCTGATTGCCCCATCTGGGCCCTTCATGGCTGGCAAAGGAGCCTCGGATGGAACCCTTCCAGCTGCAGTCTCTGGGTCCCAGTAGTACCTGAGACCTGGGATCAGAGATGTAGGGGACTTAGTAGGACAGGACTCTACCCTGGATTCCCAGCAGGTCAGGGCTGAACCAAGCTCACAGTCCCCACCCTAAAAGGGCCCTTGGCCCTCTCACAATCAGACAGATAGAGAAGGGCTCCCGCCTGGGTGTTCTTGAGGCCGAGTTACTGGGATACTAGGGAGCTAGACTGGGAAGGACACAAAGCATGACTTAGAAAACAAAGCAAGGTGTCCCCGGCACAGGTGCCAAGCCCTCATATCCAGCTAAGGGATCCTCTTGTGGGATGGACAGAAGGACCTGTTGCATTTTTTTGGGCAGAGGTCTGGCCAAGCCTCCACCTGTAAGAGTCTCTTAGAGCTGACCTCCAGACCCCAGCTGACAAGTAGGTGGCTTGGGAGACCCTGGCCTTGGTGCATCCCTCACCTCACTGTGATACCTGTTTGTCTTCCCCAGTATTATGAGAATCATGACTACACCCCAAAGATGCCAGAGCTCCCCACAGGTGTGCGTGCATTTGCCTCTGGCCCCCGTGGGTCCCTATCCCTGTGTGACTCGAGCCCCACGGCTGCAGTTACCTTTGCTCTGGCTGCTGTCGGCACTGCCATCCTGCATTTTACCTACACAACAGAGAATTTCAACAGACAACAGGCGGCACAGGTCATCACAGGGACACAACAGGCCACAGACACTCATGTCACAGACAGGAAGGGCCAAGCTGCTCGGGGATGCTGAGGAAATCTAGAATGAAGGCCGGCCTGGCCGTCATGTTAGCCACAGTGGCTGTGGGGCCAAAATGCTCTTGATTCTTTGGGGCTCTGTGTGTGTGTGTGTGTGTGTGTGTGTGTGTTTCTGTTGGAATAACCTTGGACCTGAGTATTTTATAGGCGAAAGGAATGAGTTGTAAAGTAAAAGGGTCCAGAGTCTGCACAGGAAGCAGAGAGAGGTGCCCAGACCTCCAAACTGAGCCTGGCATGGTGCTTATGGCTGAAAGGAGGGAAAGAGAAGCTTTCAAATCCTTCCTTCCTCCCTGCCTCCCTTCCTTCTTTTCTTCCTCCCGTCCCTCTGTAGAACCGAGGATTTGAACCTAAGGCCCGTGTCTACCAGGCAGGCACTCCACCATTGAGCTTTTCTCCAGCCCTTTTATGTTTTAATTTTGAGACAAGGTCTTGTTAAGTGTCTTAAGCTGGCCTGAAACTCATGACCCTCCTGCTCTACTCTCTAGCTGCATCATTTTAATTTTCCCAAAAAATGAAGATAGATAGATAGAGATGATCAATCATCTACAATGGAGAGGAATGGAGGTCAACATATCCCTTATTTTGGGCTGGGCAGGGAAGATGATTCTTTCTCCTTATCACTCCAAAGGATATGATGTTATGTACCAAGTACACCTCTGACTAAAATCCTGTAAAGTGTATAGGGCAGAAGGTGAGCAATGGGGTCTGAAGATGCCCTAGGGTGTCTGAAAGTCCATGGGAAATGCCTTGGTCCTAGAAGGAAGCCGCTGCCCCTAGAAGAGGTGTTAAGGAGTAGTTTCACAGACAGGCTAACAAGAGCCAGTACTGGGTGCTATCACCTATGTCAGGGCTTAATGCAGCCAGATGTTGGGGAAGGGCTGGGTGTGGGACTTTTTACCTGCCATCTGTGCTGTCTGGGAACCCTGGTCACAGCCTGGGCCACTGTGGGCAGGGTTGGAGGCTGCTGCTTCTTGCCTGAGACACCTGATTTCAGCTGCGCCCTCCTTTGCAGCCTGTGCCACCCACTGAAACTTCCTATAGCTTTGGTCCCTTAGGAGGGGTGGGAGAAGGCTTTTTGGCCTTAACATCTGCTGCCAAGGCCACTAGGCTGAGTTCACATGGCCTCCATGCATTCATCTAGACAGTGCTTTTCAACCTCCCTTACACTGCGACCCTTTAATACAGTGCCTCATGTTGTGGTGACCCCTAACCATAAAACTGTCTTCATTGCTACTTCATAACTGTAATTTCACTACTGTTATGAATCATGATAGAAATATCTGATATGCAACCCTCAAAGGGGTCTCAATTAATAGGTTAAGAACTGCTTATATAGTGCTTGACACTGTTTTCTTTTGAGAAGGACACTGGTGTTGGACTCTCATCTGTTGAGGAGAAACTGAGAGCTTGCCTTGGAGTGTGAATGCTTCTGTTCTGCTATTTCCATTGCCAAGACTCCTCAGAGCCCAGGCAGAGGGCTGGTGTCGCACTGTGTGGGGTTCCTGAGAACCTTGTCTGGGCATTGCCCAGCTGTGGCTTAGTCTCTTGTTAGCCAGTTTCCACCTAGGGGTTTACATTCCTAAAAACCACTTTCACAGGCCAGCCTTCAGCCGACTGAAGATGTCTCTACAAGTGTCATCAGTTGTCAGGCCCTGCCAGGTCAGGTGGGAGGGACCATCAGCCTTGTCATTTTATAGATAAGAAAACTGAGGTGGAGGGATGTCCAGAGGCAGTGTGTCCTCACAGAACATCTCCAAAATAACCCTGGGAGCTGTGAGATTAGCTTGCTACTATTACTGTGCATGCTTGATGGGTGGCTCAGACCCCAGTTCACTAACTGCCATCCAGAACTCCGAGCAGAGAGCCAGTGTCCACCTTGGGGTTTGAAGATAAAGTACCTTCTTGTCCTGTTGTAAATGGCGTTCTTTTGGATTAAAAAAACAATAGGAAGAAAACCTTTTCTTTCTTTCTTTTTTTTTTAAGAGAAAAGAATAATGGGCAACAATTATTTTTTGTTTCTCATAATAATTTCACTAACTAGGCTAAGGGGTGCCAAAGGACTGGGCTTCCAGAAGCACCTTTGGAATGCTGGAAGGGTTGTTTTGCCTCATATTATCAGATGTCCTAGCTGATGCATGTACCCATTAAACCCAGCAATTCTCTCTTTTATTGCCATAGCAATTACATGGCCAGACAAATAATCAGCAATGCACATGCTGGGGGAAGGGAGCCGTATCTGGGGGTGCTTTGCTGCAGATGGCCTGGTTTGTGAGAAGCAAGGGACTTATTGGAAGCTCTTATTAAACTGGCGCCCACCTGGCCCTGCATTGTATTACAGCAGCTGGCCCGTCACCACACAGGACCTGGAAGATGGGGCTGAGGATGAGAGAGAGGGCCCAGGAGAGGGGGTGAGTGGGGTCTCAGAGGCTCTGCTTTTCATATATTCTAGGTGGACCCAGATTGATCCCTGAATAGGTGATGATGCACAGACTTTGGTGGGGACAGGTTACAGGCCAGGAGACCTTGGAAAGGCCACTTCTCTTCCCTTATCTGTGAAATGGGTTCACGGTAACCAAAGGGTTATTTGGAAAAAGGACCTGATGTGTGCTGCAAAGAGGTGGGGAAGCCACAGGGGTACATTATCTATCTGAATTGACATCGAGATGTGCATGAGTGTAAAAAAATGAAGTAAAGACAGTGATTGGGATGCTACAGCTTTTGATGTGGGATCTGGGGGAGTCACAGTCAGGGAACCATTTTTGTTGTTTTCTTTCCTGCATCACCAAGGTTTGACTCAGAAAAAGAGGCGAGCTTATAGTGCGCTTGTTCTCATGTCCCAGCCTCAGCCACAGCTCTCTGTGCTTGCTTCTGGAGTTTGAACAGTACCACAATTCATATTCTCATTTGTTGGCCTGGAGTGGGGTCTGGTTTTTTTTTCTTTTTTACAATTTCCCAGGTGAACTAGTTCCTCAGCCTTTGAGATCTTGCACATAGGGCTTCCTCTGTAGCCCAGGCTGGCCTCAAATTCACGAACCTCCTGCCTTGTCTCCTGAGCACTGCGATTATAGGTGCACATCATCATATCCGACCCTCTAGTTTTAGACTAGAGGGTCATTTTTCCCCCCTCAGGGAAGACTTCTTCATTTCAATAGAAAACCTATAAGACATAATTCACTGTGGAATTCTGGGTTGACTGGAGGCAAGCAGGTCTGCGTTCTGGATTTACATTCCCATCCTGCTACTTTCTTTTTAGTTTTTAAAATTTTATATGTAGAAGTGTTTTGCCTGCACATATGTCTGTGCACCATGAGTGTGCCTGGTGCCTGTGGAAGTCAGAAGAGGGAGCCAGGTCCTCTGGGACTGGAGCTACAGGCAGGGATGAGCAGCCACTTGGGCGAGAAGCCAGTGCTATTTTGTTGTTGTTTTGTTTTGAGACAGGGTCTTTTTATGTAGCCTTTGCTGTTTTGAAACTCACTCTATAGACCAGGCTGGTCTTGGGCTCTCAGAGATCCACCTGTCCCTGACTCTAGAATGCTGCAATTAAAGGCATGTGCCACCATGGGATGGAGCTAGTGTCTTGATTTCCTTGAGTCTTATTCTCTCCATCTTTCATATTTGAACAGTGAAACCGTGTCACGGGGCCTCCATAAGGATGGAAGAGACAGAGGACATGAAACACTAGACGCAGTGTTGGTCTAGAAACTAAAGCTCTTCATCTTCCCTGTGGGTTCTGGTGGCAGCCTGCAGGGGAACTCCCCTTTTCTTCCAGAACTGGTGATGTGGAGGATGCCTGTATTCTGATCTCCTAGGGAAAGTGGGTTCCTGGTTCCTTCTCCCTGAGCTATGGGTTTGCCCATGCTGGCTCTTTCTGTCACCTCTCAGCCACCCCTCCCTGTGGCTTGACACCACCCACAGCCCCAGCTGTCTCCCTTCCTCCTCTTGGGCTTGAAATAGACCCACACTAGAATTAGCAACTGTTTGCAGAGGTGCCTTGTGCAGCCCTGACATCTTCTGGATGGGTCTGTTGGGTGCTTTGAAGGTAGGTGGGTTGGTGAGAGGTGTAGGGTGGGGCATGGACTACAGAATGGATAAGAAACATGTCTGTCACTCAGTGATGCTTCTGTCCCTTGCCTCAGCTTCTCTGGCAGTATTTTCACAGCCAAACTCTAGTGCCCCTGAGTATCCAGGTGCAGCCTGGGTGGCTACCAGGGGACCAATGAGGACAAAGGTGTTGTCTGAGGACGATGGACAGTGGAGACCCCTGGAGAAGGTGGTTATAATCCTCCATGCTTGTGTGTGAGGAGAAGATGATGAAGACCTGGGGACGCAGGCAGCCACCCCCACCAACCACCCTGGTGAAGTAAGAGTGTGGAGACCAATGGACTCTCCAGCCCAGGCACCACTGAGACACACACCAGTCCACACGAGAGGGGTGATAGACTAGGTCCAAGCCCCACAAGTCCTAATACCTGCTGGCTTGGCAAGAGAGAAGAGAAAGAGACTGAGGGAGAAGTGTCTACTTGTGGCTCAGCCATGCCATGAGTGGGGTTAGAGGGTTGAACTCCAGCCTGAGTCTTCACTTCTGGGAGAGTTTTAGAGGAAGCTAGGAGCCTTTGCTAGGGAGCCAGATGCTGGCTCCTGTTTAGTTCCTGACCCCAGGCCACTTTTCCAAAGCCAGAGCCAGAGATGTGCTTAGGGGTGGGCCATACTGGGGGCCATGCTGCTTCTCATGGGGCCAGATCTGAAGCCAGGGTCATGTGGAGTTAACTTCTTGGGTCATGGCTCTGCTTTTAAGTACTTGGGAGGGAGAGTGTTCTGGAGTGACCATGTGTGTCAGAGGTCTGTGGGGACCCAGGACGGGGAAAGCCTGGAGTAGGGGGTGGAGAAGAAGGAGCCCAGCCACCCATCCCGAGAGCTCACTGTGGAGACGTACCATTGACTAGGCTTGCATTTGCGCTACCTGCAGTGTTTGCAGGTGCTGTGCCGTCGGCCGCTGTGGGGTGGGAGGGATGGAAAGTGAAATGTCACAATGGAGAAGGCGACGACAGAGACATGAACCTACTGGGGGATAATCACATGACTTATCCTTATAAAAATGAAACCTCTGCTGGAAAGCGAGGAACTCAAATATGGGGAGGGGGTGAAATGTCCCTATGGAAATGCCACAGGGGTGGGTGGGTACTGAGACTGGGACACAGAGGGTCTGTGAAGGACAGCATGGAGTGGACTCAGGTGGTCAGGTGGGATGGCACTTAATATTGTGTATTCCTGGCTGTCCTGGAGCTGGGTTTGTAGACTAAACTGGCCTTGAACTCACTGCCTGTCTCTGCCTCCCAAGTGCTGGGATTAAAGCCCAGCTGTGATGGCATTTCTGTGGTGACATCTGTGTTGCTCTATAGACTGTCCTATGGACTGTGTTGGCTCTGCTGACTAGGTGGGAACCCCATGGGATAAGGAAGTTCTGTCCAGGGACCCATGACCAGGAGTCAATTAAAAGTGCTCAGTGAGTGGTGCTGTGTGGCCTAGACACTTAAAAGGTTTTCCCTGTGACCACCATTGTTTCGTCCTGAAGATCAAAGGTGGTGACTTAGGATCAGGCTTCTGCCCACCACAACTTTCCCTCATTGGCTCACTGAAGAGTACTGTAACCCCCATGTGAGATATCTCACCAGAGAGGGGCTTCTAGATGTCTCCCTCTTATATCAGGGAGATCTTAACTAAGAAATTAACAATGGTAGGGGACTGCCAAGTTCACCCTCATGGAGTTCTTTCTTGAGGTGGGGATACAGTTGTGTGGGAAGCAGGAGGATGGGACACTGGCAAGTGCTTGGACACAGGAGCTGAACTGGTGTGTGTGTGTATGTGTGTGTGTCTCAGGGGTGCTGTGATGGCAAATGAGGTACTGCATGCTAGTGTGTGGGACTTCGATGGAGGTGCCATTTGGCCTTGGGTATAAGGACAAGAGGGCACAGTGGGTTTTTCCCTTGTCCTGCTGAGCTTGCATACAGCAGATTGCAGAGGAATGTCTAAGGGGATAATCTCTAGTAGGCATGGAGTCTCCTCCAACTATGTGCTACTAACAGGGGCAAGGCCTAGGGGCCCACAGCTGTAGCTACATCTAAAAGCCCATCTTCCCTGAGGATTGTCTTACTGTACCTGGTAGCTGAAGGCCATCCCCCTTCTTCACACCTGTGTGATGATTTTTGAGACATGTTAATGAAGGAGAAACACATACAGCCTCATGAGTGCACCACACCTCACCAGACACCACACACACACACACACACACACACACATACATATACGCATGCACGCACATACACACATATACGTGCACACACACATACATGCACACAAACACGTGCACACGTGCTCACGCGCACTCACACGCACCTCTGCACACAAGACCATTCTGTACTCTGAGCTGGGTATCTCAGGTTGAAATGATGGGATGGGAAGATCAAGGGGTCCAGTTCTGGCTCTTCAGACACAAGTCCTTCATACTCCTCCTCAAATCCCTACACAGAACTGAAACTTTTGACTTTCTGTATGCTGGTTCAGATCCAGCAAAGGACCCTGAATGATACCTAAGGGGCCACTGAGGCCTGATTCTTTTTTATGGTATTGTCAGATGTAGGGCTGGCCAGCAGGTGCTTCTGGGTGTCTGTTTCCAGGCAGGCCCCACAGAGATTGGAACACAGGTACAAATTACTGTTTTTCACCAACTTCTTAGCTCCACCCTACTGCACTTGGTTAGTCTATTCATCCTGACTACAGTCCTCATTCATACATGAGACCCTGTCCCAATACCTGCTGGGACTCTGAGCTAGGACTTTGCTCCATTCTGAACCCAACCCAACTTTGTTCTCTTCTGTCTACTGATTTCCCAGATAACAGCTCAGCTTCACTCTTCATGCTGGGTGTGGAAAGGAGCTCTTCACTCAGTTACCAGCTGCCTTCAGCCCTGTTGCAGATTTTGTGTCCCAGTGGTCTCTGTGGGTAGCATGCTTGCCTGAACTTGGGAAGGACCATCTGCCCACTTATCAACTTCTCCAAGTTCCCAAAGTTTGAATGTTGGGGATGTTATTCTAAAGCTTAGTGAAGGAGATGAAAGGCTGACAGTCTGAAAGGGGACTGTGCCTGAGACTGAATGTGGACACCAGGTAAGGTTCTGGCCATTCTGGGCTTTGGGCTCAGGGCTTTTTGTGGGAGCATCTCTCCTCTGTTCTGAAAGGTATTTGTATCTCTGATGACTACTCACTGCTCTGAGGGGCACCTGGTGTGTAAGGACTTTTACTTTGAAAGGGGAAGTGGAACCAGGGCGTGGGCAATGTGTCAGCTCCTGAAGAATCAGAGCAGAAAGCATGGGACTGAATTTCAACCACCTTCCCAAGTTTCATGCCCATGCCTGGCGTTGGTCTCTATGCTGAATGGATTGACAGTTCTGCTGGCAGAACTGACCAATGTCAGAAGGAACATTTCTGGTTGAGGACTTCTACACAATACTGAGGTGAGGGGGAGCCAGCTCCTGCTGGATGCCTCTACTGCTGGAGTCCGGAGATTGAATGACATGCCCAGCATCCTGAGTCTGGCCTAGAGGGGAAGAGGTGGGGAGGGGGGTTTTGTGACATGACTGGACAAGACAGAGACTAAGGCAGATGGAACAGACATAACCCACCCAATCCAGCAGGCCCCAAGGACAAAGGAGGCAACTGTTGGTACAGGGCATGGTATAGCAGTCACTCTGCATTGTGAACAGATACGTGGAAAATGTGGCCTTAAAAGCTCCTTCCTGGCTTTTCAGAGAGTGTGCTTGTGGGAGGCTTACCTTTTTTGTCTTTCTTCTCTTCCTCTTCACCTCCAGCCCCCAGCAGGGTAAATATGATGCCAGTCTGAGAATTCACACCCACAGCAGTCACTACCATCCGTCCTGAGCCTTCCATCACATGGGTCCCTGAGGAAGGTATAAGCCCTATTACTATCACATGGCCAAAGCCTCTTATCCAAATAAACAGAAGGAACAAGTGTCCATCAGCTTCTAGTACCTTGTCCACTGAGATCATGGTGTTGGGTGGAACTTCCAGTTAGGGGTTACATAATGGGCATGGTGGGATCTTTGTTGATGATGCTGTCTCAGGGGAGGATAAGATGGACTTGGGACAGTATCATAACATTTCTGTTGCCTATCAGTTCTATGTTCCACAGAAGATCCAGGCCCACCACCTCCTATCCTGGCCTGGGGGGTTACCTCCTACTTGTCTCCATCTCCCACTTCTTCTCCTGCCATTATAGTAAAGCAGGGGACACTCTATTCTTATGGATAGTATTTAGAATCAGACCTCATTCTGCAAGCAGGAAGAAATGGGAACTAAGGCCAGAGAGGACTGATGAGAACTGGCCCATCTTCCCTCCTAATAGAGAATTCAGGGATCTGTGAACTGAAATGGGAAAACCTCATATATATGTTTTCACAGACCTCAAAGTGAATGAACATAACATGCCAATAAGATCATACACAGTTGTAGATACTGTGTTATAGAGACTCCAAGTTTTCTTCATGTGCTTCACAGCTGTGGTGGACATTGACTACTGCCCTCTGACAGTGGACCAGTAGTCTATCTTCCTACTGAGTCTTGTTTTGAGTGCCACACACTTTTAAAACCATTTTGTTTCAACATAACTGGTTTCTGTAAGTCATCCTGTGCATTGTATTTTATGACATTCCACATTTTATGCTGAGGATGTGGGTACACAGTGACATCAGACTCTCTGGAGCATCTGTGCTACAAGAAAATATCAGGCCCTTTCCCAAGAAAGTTATTGTTATTGTTGTTGTCACAGTTATTATTTGAGGTACTAGGGATTAAACCCAGGCCTTGAGCATCTGAAGCTATTTCTCTGTCACAGAGAACCTTCCCTAGTCATTTTTGAGATACTATGCCCTACCTTCTAAATGCTGTAACTATAGACATACTCTACCATACCTTGTGTATATGCTTCTAATAATGGAATCTAAAGCTTCGTGTATGTCAGGCAAATACTCTACCAGCCAGGCTACATCTTAACCTTTTTGAATTTTTAAATTTTGAGACACCATCTCACTAAATTATGGAAGATGTCCTTGAACTCACCCTAGCCTGGGTAGGTCTTGAACTGTGATCTTCCTGCTTCAGCTACCTGTGTAGTTGTGATTGCAGGTCTGTATTACTACATCCAGCTCATGTCCTAGAATCTTAAATTTCTCAAATTGAGTTCCAGAAAGCCCTAGAATTTTTGAAGGGTCTGGAAAAACTTTTGAATGAAGCAGTTCTATTTTTGTTCATCTTTGTTATTTTTAAAATTGTATTTATTTTTGTTTTATGTGTATACAGGTTTTGCTTGTATCTCTTTACCATGTGTGCAGTACCCAAAGGCACCAGAAGAGGGCCCAGAAATCTCTGGAGCTAGAGTTACTGGAAGCTGTGAGCCACCTCGTGGGTACTGGGAAGCAAACCTGGGTTCTTTGCAAGAGAAGCAAATGCTCTTGACTGTTCCCAGGCCCCATCACTCCAGTGTTTGAATCAGCAAGTCGTGTGTGTGTGTGTGTGTGTGTGTGTGTGTGTGTGTGTGTATGTATGTGTTGTTTGTTTGTCCTCTACTACGCAGGCTCAGAGCGTGGCTGTCTTAGACCCTACAGAGAACTGTGGGAGAGTGAGAGAGATGCAAAGGTAGAGACCTGGTGTGGTGACACATGTTTGTCCTCCCTGTAATTGGGAGGTGGAAGGGGCAGGAGGATCAGGGGTTAAATGTCATCCTTTGTTAAAGGTCAGCCTTAGCCATATGGTGACTTTCAGGGTAGTTCAGGGTAGCCTGGGTTATATAAGACCCTGTCTTGGGAAAAGTTGCTCTCTACCTCTCTGGCGCACTGGACTGTCAGCCCTCAGGAGATGGCAGTGCTGATACACACTGAGACATGAATGAACCCTGGGAACACTAAGATAACTGGAACCCACCTGCCATAAGTTCCACAAGCTTCCAAATTCAGAGAATGGGGCTGCCACGGGCTACCAGGGGGTGTCTGAAAAAACTGGAGTCTCATGAGCTCAGACAGCATTGGCTGGGGAACATGGGAAGTCCATGGAGGAGGAGGGTGTCTGCTTAACAGGAAGCAGACAGCAGCCACGCTCACAAACCAGTCTATCCACAGGGAAGTGGCCTCCACCTTCTGCCCGTCAGCCTGCTTTAGCACACCCAGAAGCCACGGCCGTTCTATGAGACTGTCCAGCAGGGTTAAGCTGATCTGTCACTCAGTGCTCTGGGTACCACCTCTGCTCATGGGCTGTGAGGAGAGGATTGACTGTCTCACCAGACAGATGAGGAAATTGAAGCCCTAGGAAAGCTTCGGAACACCTACTATGTACACAAAGGAAGTATTTGGAACACCTACTGTGTGCTGGCACTGTGCTGCACCCGACAAACAGTAATCTCAGCTCTCACACCAGGGGAAACTGGGGCCAGAAGGCTTAGATAGGGTGCCCCAGGACCCACACAGGTGAAGGGCAGTGCCAGGTTTTAAAGTCTTTGTCCTTACAGTCTAGGATCTTGGACATAGCTCACTTCCCCCCCAGAGGGAAAGGCCCCCACAGCTAGCTCTAAAATCCAGGTGAAAGGAGGCTGGCTGGGAGGTGACTGTATTGGTCCTTGGGTTCAGAGGCCACAGGAAGCTGTTTTCCACTTGCCTAGCAGAGGAGGGATGGAAAAAGATGTGGGGGCCAATTTCCACCCAAGATAAGCAGGCCTCAAATCACCTTCTAATCTAATCACACCCATCACCACCCAGTGCTAGCAGCTCCTGTAACAGGGGGCAGAGAACGGGGCTGGACAAAGAGCTCACCAGATCCGGAACCCCCAGGGGCTCCTCAGGCCTACCACTGGATAGAAGCAGAGGCTTTGAGGAACACAGCCTCCGCCTCCAAATGGCAGTCTGACAATGTCCCCCGTTCAGAGTCCTCCTAAACCAGTGGTCCTCAACCTTCCTATTGCTATGACCCCTGTGAAAGGGTCATTAGACACTCAGAGGGGTTGAGACCCTCAGGTTGAGGACCACTGTCCCAAGGGTTTGGCTGACCCCCTGAGGTCCCAATGATGCATTCAGAGCCCCTGACCAGATCCCAGCCTTCTTGTGCTGTGCTTGCCCTCTGGCCTCTGGCCCATACTGACCCTGGGCCATTTGAAGCCTTTCTGGAAGTTTGAGATGACCTTAGGGTTAAGCAAACTGACCCGGGCCAGTGTAAACGTTGGAAGATGATTGTATTTTCTCAGCCCTTCTCTCTGCCCATTCGGATGTATCATGGTTTGGTAGCTGTTCACCAATCCACCCTGGGGGGACGCTATGTGGATGCCTGCAACCTAGTCTGCTGCTTTTGAATATGAAATCTTTCTAGATTCTTCCCCTTGGTTTTGGGGACGAACTCGAGGTTTGGTGACTACTAAGCTGGAACTCACTTTCTCTGTCTTTCCTTACCTTTGCTGTGCTTGGAAGTGAGCACAGACCTGTGGTCCCCACAACTAACTACCAGTGCCACCCCCCCAACATGGACACAAGCTCCTAGGGGCTCAGTGCTCTTCTAGGACAAACAATAGAACCTGACTTTTCTTTGCCTTCTTTGACGTCAGATTGTTATGTGTCAGGAAGGGATTCTGAAATTGGGATTTGGGGGAGATCCATGGATACCCTAAAACTAGTGCCTTTGGGTACCTGCAAGGTCTGCAGGCAGGAAGGCTGGCAAGTCTCCTGGCAGCAGTATGGAGTTTAGAGCATCTAGTCATGGCAGCAACACCAGAAGGGTGGAGGAGAGGCATTCTTGAGAGGAGGAAGAGGCAGGGTGGGACATGGAGATGAAGGAAAGTTCCTTGCTTCCAAATACTCCTTTGAACTGAGACAACCAAGCCATTTTGCACACGAGCAAATAGAGGCTCAGGGATGATGTGGAGATTTTCTGGGGCCCCAGTCAAAGGGAATTAGAAGCCTTGTTTCCACCATAAGGAAGGATGTCCACAGGGGTCATCAGTGTATTCTACTGACCCTGTCCTAGTGCCTCTACCTTTGTGGACACTCTATGAGTCTCATAGATAAACTGAGGCACAGAGAAGGCAGCAAGTGCATTCCAGAGCTCAGGTCCCGTCCATCACCTGCTGCCTGCTCTTCCTAAATCCTTCACAGCTTTCCCCTCTTCACACTGCTCGGCTTGGAGCTAAAGCTGGGCACAGCCCCTGGATGGCAGTGGCCTCAGGCTCAGGGCTCTACCTGGACTTGATTGGCTGGAGAACTGGTTCAGGTGTCTGCTATGGTCTCTACGACCTTGCTGGCGAGGTGGGTCCTGAGCAGATAGATGGTAGCACTTAAACAGGCAAAGAGGAAGCAAGATGAGTATGGGGGGAGGGCTCGAGGGAATACATCTCGTGGACCTGTAGTGAGGTTCAGGGGGTGGAGGGTGAAACTGAGACTCTCAGAGTTGAGAGGACATCAGATGTAGTGCCCTCCCAGCAAATCACTCTGATTTGTTCAGGCTCTGCTCATGCAGCCAGTGGCAGGCACACTATTCTTGCATTTGTTCTGTTTCCTACTGCTGACCACAACTGTCCATGCTCTGCTCCCTCTCCTGCCACCCAGCTGGTCCTCTATGTGTCACCGACTTTTGTGGATCTCAACTCCAACTCTCTTCCTTCTTCCTGCCCTATGAACAGGCCCTTTCAAGGGGAGAAGCATGTTTTCTGGAGCCCACCAGCCCAGCAAGATCAGCACAACCTATGGAAATCTCTGGTCCAGCCATCCTCTACATCTTGCCTACAAGGATGTTCCTTGGGCCTTGATATCTGGAGGGCAAACCAAAGCCACTTCTCTGGTTCCACATAACCTTGGGGACCTGTGGTGGCTTCTGTAGATCTCCCTCGCTTGCCCTGGTCCTCACATGCCACCTGCTCCTGACCTGATGATCAGCCCAGGCTTCAAGGACCCACTTGACTACTGGTGAGACCTAGAGTGTCCTCACTGTCACCAGCTCCATCCTAGCCCATCTGGGGCGTGTTCCTTATCCCATCTCCAAGAACCTCAGGCCTCTGTTCTCTTCTGGCCCTTAAGATATCCCAAGCTCCTCCCTTCTCCCCGATAGAGGGAAGGAACAAGAACCACAGAAGCTCTAGCTGTGTTCCTCAAATTCCTCCTCATGGCTTCTCTCTTGTCTCTTCCTGGCTTTGCCTTCACCTCTAGCTTGGTTTCATTTCCAGTGCCCCTTTCCCTCTGGGCCTCATGCCTCTGTGAGGGACCTGAGACCCGGTGATTCACCCTAAACCAGCGACAGCCAGATTCTGGAATCTCTGTCTGTCTGAAGTCCCTCCCTGGTTGGTATGTGACACTGTTAGCCAGTGACTTTGAATGCTGTCTCCAGCTCCTGCTAGCACCCTCCCTCCTGCTCTTTCTCCATGCTATCTGGAAACTGTCACCATCTACCCTGGACTCCCATAGAAACCACTGCACACTTCCCCCAAGGATGGCTACCTGCCTGTCAACTCCTGCAGCTCAGAGGCTAAAACCAGGGCGGATGGGGCTGGGACCATCTCCTCATCTCTCACATGGCCTTTTGTTCCCAGAGGGCACGGGAGACCTTCCATGATCTCTTACTCAGACCTTTGCACTTGCTGTTTCTCTGCCAAGGGTGCATTCCTCAATGTTCTGACTTTAGCTCTAATGTAACCTCCTGAGTCAGGTGTTCCCTGGCCTGTTGAGATGCTTCCTGATCTTAGGGACCCTTTTCAATGCAATCTTGTGTCCTTGATGGATTTACTTGTGTTTCTTTCCTTGACTGCTGCCCTCACCTGATTATAAATTCTAGCACAGCACAGACTTTGTCTGTCCTGTTAGCCACTGGTGTACAGTAGGTGCTTAATAGATGTAGGGGATGAGGCTAACCTGGTTATAAGGCGAAATAGATATAGGGCTATGTTGGCTAAATTTCACGTCAACTTGACACAGGCTAGAGTCATCTGAGGTAATGGAGTACTAATTGAGAAAATGCCTCCAGGAGATCTAGCTGTAGGGCATTTTCTCAATTAATGTGGATGGGGGGCAGGTTCCAGCCTGTTGTGGGTGGGGCCTAGCCCTGGGCTGGTGGTCTTGGGTTCTATAAGAAAGTAGGTTGATCAAGCCATGGGGAGCAAGCAGGTAAGCAGCTCCCCTCCATGGCCTCTCCAGGTTCTTGCCCTGTTTGAGTTTCCAACTGCTTTTGCTGATGAACTATGAATATAGAACTGTGAATAAAATAAACCCTTTGCTTCCCAAATTGCTTTTGGTCACGGTGTTACATCACAGCATTAGAAACCCCTACTAAGACAAGCTGTGAATAAATTCTAGATACATAAACACTTCAGCCTTTCCATTACCTGGAAGATTCTTGGATCTTCCTTTTGTGTTGCTTAGGGAATCCCACCCACCTGCAGGGGAATGGACCAATCGAGCTCCTGTTCATCCTCTAAACCCCAGCTCAATGCAACCCCCTTGGCCTCTCTACTCCCTTCTTGACTTTTGCATACCATTTTATATCTCTATTGGGGGTTGGGGACTGGAGGTCCCAACAGCATGGCCAGGCAATGTGGTCTATTTGTTATCTCTGTAGGGAAGGATTTCATGGAGATGTTCTATCCCACATGGCCTTCCCAGCCCCCCCCCTTTTTTTTTTGCCTCTGTGGTATCCAGAAAGACCAAAAAAAAAAAAAAAAAAAAAAAAAAAAAGCCAATGTCATTAGGCAACCCCATACTCAGAATAACATCCTGATAAAGCCAGTAGAAGCTATGTTGCTATGTTGCAGGGATAAGAAAGAAGACACTCTGTGATGTTTGCTGTAGTAGTGCCAGGCCAGGCTGTGGCTCTGCATGGCAGGTATACTGTGAGCTTGCTTGGGAAAGGGGTGGTGTGCACACAAGGGGCTGATGATACTGCCATCAACCCCAGAGCCAGGGCCACACCTGCCTCCCCATGGTGGGTGGGACGTGGCCACAGAGGCACACAGGCTGCCACGCTTACCTGACAGCAGCATGGGGTCCTTATCCACAGACTTGCGCACCTGGTCAGACTCCCCTGTGAGTGAGCTCTCGTCGATCTTGAGGTCATTGCCCTGGATGAAGAGGCCATCAGCAGGAAGGAGGTCACCTGATTGGAGAAAGACAGGCAGTCAGCAAAGCCAGGTGGCCAGAGAAGCTGGGGCATGGGGGAAGTGCCCATTAGGCCCCAGAGTGCAGAACCAAGATAGAACCTGCAGACCAGTGGGAAGCTAAAGTGACATCCTTGGGACCTGATACAGAGCCACCCTGCCAATGCATGTATGTCCTTCATAGTGTAAATCCTTTCACCCGATGTGTCCCTGGGCCCAGGGTCTGTGGTTCATTTTCCTGTAGTCTTTCTATGGCTTGGAGAAGGTCTTTCGTGACAAAGCAGGCTATTTTAGGTGAACTGAAAACACTCCAGTCGAGTAAGCCACTAGGACTGAGTGAGAAGTGCCACCCCAATCTCGCCAACCCGTGTCTACTGACCTAGGGCACATCTTATCCAAACCCCTTCTGGAGCTGGCCTACCTACTTTTTCAGTAGCAATATGACTGGCTTGGGATACTCACCCACCCACTTTGACTCTTGCTAACTTCCACCAGCCTGGAAAGAGCTATATGAAGTCAGTTCAGGGATGGGAAATGGATTTTGTCTCATAAACCCACTCTGAATATTAGTGATGCTGTGCTGGGAAGCCTTCTGAGGCGTTATTCAGACTATGAGCAGTGATTGATTAGTCATGTCTGCTATAGATGGAAGCTGGAGTGCAGTGGCATGCATGCTATGAATCTGACATTTCTGATTTAACTGGATATGGGAAACCTGTTGTCTCCTCTGGGACCCTTGGGACCTCAGAACACATCCTGCCACGATGCCAGCTTTTATGGATCCCACCCCTTCCCTGGGTTAAGCTCTTTGAACCTGCCTGTCCTGTCCCACCTCTACCCAGACTCCAGCTCTAGAACCATGGCTAGGAAGACTTACCATATTTGATCTGAGCGATGTCCCCAACCACGATCTCAGCTACAGGGATCTGGACCACCTGTCCGGCCCGGACCACGGTGAACTTCTGCTCCTGCTCGATGCGGCTCTGCAGGCCCCGGAACTGTTTCTCCTTACTCCAGTCATTGAAGGCTGTGACCAGGACCACACAGATGACTGACAGCAGGATGGCAGCCCCTTCAATCCAGCCGGCTTCTGCCTCACCTTCATCCTCTGCCCCACCCTGGGCGGTGGCACATCCTGTAGAGAGACAGGGACACAGTGGATCTCCAGGACACCGGACAAGAGCTTCCACATAGCTTAGATATGCCAAGGAATCATTGATAATCAGATGACAGCCTCGGTGTGCCTTTGTGTGCCATGCTCTGGGCAAAGAACACCTCCTGGTCACTTTATAGGGCCCCTGCTGTATGTCTCCCACTGATGGGGAGGCTAAGGCTTCTCAGAGAGATCTACCAATTAGGAAGGGTGAGTGGAAAGCAAGAATGCCAACCCAGGCAGCATGACTGCAAAGCCACCATCTGAATGATACCAGCCCTACTTTTGTCCTAGCTGTGAGACCTCAAATAAATGACTCTTTGAGTGTCAGTTTTCTCATGAGAAAGGATTTCGTGTAGCCCGGGCTTTACTGAAATTAGCTATGTAGCTGAGATGATTTTGGAATCTGGTCCTCCTGCCTCTACTTCTGAGTTCTGGGATTACGCCATGCCTGCCTTTATGTAATGTCATGAAAGCTGCATTGCTGGTAACACCTCCTGGGGCTTGGGGACAGGAAAGGGGTAACTCCTGGACACACTCACCATGTAGCAGGTTCTCTTCAACTCAGGCCACAGCAAGCACAACAGGATTCAATACACAGGATGCTACCTCACCCACAGGGACCCTGCACCCCACACTTGATGCTACTGAGTCCCTAGTAAGGGCCCACAACTCTCAATTTTGGCCAGGCCCATGGGGAGATGAGAAAAAAAGAAAAATACCAATATGCCTGACATGGAGGCTCAGAGTGAAGGTCCACAATGCCAGACTGTGATGAGCCTTGCCAGACTGTGACGAGCCTAAGGCTCCCCAGCCTCTCCTTGCTCCCACAGGGCTCTTAAGACCTGAATGCAGAACCTAAGACTCTGAGTGGCCGGGGGTCATACCCTGGATGAGAGCTGGTACTCTCCACATGGTTTAGTATCCCAGAGGCAGTGTCTGACCCTCCACCTTGGCCAACTGAGAAGGGCACCTTTCACAGGGGCCAGGTTGGCAGAGGCCTAGGCAGCCTCAAGCATCCATCCTCATCCTCCAGATGTCCAAAGAAAGAAAAGGGGCTCAGAGATAGTCAGTGACTCAGCTCGAGTCACACAGCAGATCTAGAGTTTGCCTCTAGCCCTGGAATATGAGCCCCGACTTGTCCTGCCCCAAGGCCCTGAGCCTCTGAGCCCATGGCAGGTGACAAAGACTCACCTGACCATCTGGGCATCCAATCTGATTCCAAGGGACCTCAACAGAAGCTTCTGGAAGTCCAGGGGTCAGAAGCAATGGGACACAGTCAGGGAATGTGTGGGAAGGTAAAGAATCGCTATGGCCAGGAGCACATGCCATTGGAAGATTTCAGGTCTCTAGCTGAATCAGTACTCCGTAAAGGCCAGTAAACTCCTTGGAAGTTTTGAATTGTCTCAGTAACTTAAAAACGGTTCAACCAGACCACTGTTCAATGGTAGTGGCTATTACACCGGTGTCACTGAAAACTGTTCCACCCCCACCCCACCCCAAGTTCAAATCTCAGCTGCAGACTGGCTCAATTTTCTCATCAGCAGAATGGGGTGATTGTGGGTGGCCCCCTCCTCAGGTGGGCCACAGGGTGAAGGGGCCCCCCTTGGGAAGTGCCTGCCATGGGGGCCCATGGGCTCAAGCCTTGAGCACATGATACAGAGCAGGAACCAGTTGGAATTCACCTCATCTGAGATGAGGGAACTAAGGGGCTGTGGTCCTGTGTTTCTGTGAAGGACACCTACAGAGCTACAATGGGAAGAACAGGGAACCTTAGAGATGGAACCCTCATGCTGTTAGCTCTGAGTGTCACAGAACTCAGGCTCCTGACCTGTGACCACAGACGGGGAATGATCAGTGAGGAGACACTGCGTCTGCACTGATCATGGTCAGGCCTCTCGTCACTACTCCCTAAGTAACGTGGTCTCACAGCTGTTCACACAGCTGCCACGCCGGGTGTCATCAGAAACCCAGAGAGGACTTCAAGTATACAGAAGGTGGTAAGTAAATAATACCCAAGGCATCCACAGAAGGCTCCAGCAGGAGTCAGGGCATGCCTGTATACACTCCAAGGCACAAGAGTGGGGAAGGGAGGACTTGAATCCAGAGCCTGATACCCTTGTTTTGTAGGATTTTGGTTGTCTCCACTTCTTGCCACATGCTCCGTAAAAAAGACGCCTGTCTCCCCCCTTGTGTATTTCCTCGGAGCCTCCCTCCCTCCCTCTCTCTCCCTCTCTCTCTCTCTCCTTCCCTCTCTCTCTCTCTCTCTGTGTGTGTGTGTGTGTGATTTTGTGATTATTGGAGTACTGGGACACTTAGAGTCAAGTCAGTAATAACACATTGAGATTCCAGACTCAAGACCCAGATTCAAAGGCAGAGAGGAGGACATCGGGGACCAGCCACCCAGCCACCCAGCCACCCAGCCACCCAGCCACCCAGCTACACAGCCACCCAGCCACCCAGCCACCCAGCTACACAGCAAGCCACGGAGTAAGAAGAAAAGAAATAGAGAAAGGTAAACTCAGAGGCAAAAGGTAGAAGGAATAATTTAAGAAAAGCTGACTAGAAACAAGCCAAGCTAAGGCCAGGCATTCATAAGAATAAGACTCAGTGTGATTTATTTGGGTGCTGGGCCCCCCAAAAGAGCAAGATATAAGAGCAAACACACCCCAATATCATCATCAGCAACAATAGCAACAAAAACAAAAACAAAGAATGAAACAAACAAAACACCCAACTAACTACACTAGGCTGTGAGGAACCTGTCCTGCCTTCCTCCCTCCATTGCTTTGCTAGTGGGACACAGTGTAGGCAGTTTTATTCCACTGAACGTGTGGCTGGACCAGCAGCAATGAGGTGCAGAAGGGGCAGAAACCGGCCAACTTGGGCCACACTCTAGCCACCAAGCCATGATCTCTGGGCCCTGGGTTTGTGTACCCCAGAGATGTTCATGGCAGCAGTCATCTGTCTGGAGCCATGGGGTCTTTCTTGGCACACCCTAGGAGCTCTGTTGTCCTATCTTGGCCTCTGCTAGCCGCCCTCATCTCACCTTGCTCAGCAGGGCCATGGGAGGCCACTGATGCTGGTGACTCAGCCCCTGGATGTTTTTGCCAGAGCCAGAGTTTCAGCCCCTTGGTGAGTGACCTTGGCACATCCTCCACAGGCTTGGGGACTCATAAGAATAGCATCTCACTCCACCTGGATCTAGCCTGATGAGTATACTGTTCATCCCTCACTAATGATAACTTCTCTTTGCAATGGGTGAAGACCATTACAGAAAATGCAACCAATCAAAATGCAGAGTTGTGGAGCCCAGGCTCAGTGGATAGATACATCTACAAAACACTCCCACATCTAAGGGTCAGGAAACATTTAGGAATAAAGTATAGAAAGATTGTAAGAGCCAGAGGACCAGGACTGCTGTGAGATTGTGTCTCTAAGTAACATCAGAAGCCACACCCATACATTTCATCAACACCATTGCCCAAATATGAGCTGAACAAGGATGATCCCAGTGAACATGCTGACTGCACAGGGAAAAACCCCACGAGATCCTTCAACCTTACACAAAGAACTACAGACAACTGAGTAAAACTGGGAGCAGGAGATGTGGCCCTCCCCAGGGAAGAGCACACCAACTGGCTGTCCACTGTCAAATGGTCACCCCTGAAAACATACACACAATTAACATTATATGGACTCAACAGGTTATATTTGGGAATTTACCGGGTGAACCAGAACGACTGAACCACCTTCTCTATGCTCCAGGTACCTCATCTTTAAAGGAGGTACAAGCTGGGCATGCTGGAGATGCCTAATAAATGCCCACCATAGCGTTTTAGCACTGATGGCTCAGCCTTGCACTCACAGTGGGCTGATTGGGACCTTGGCCTGACCTGGTATCTGTGGCCTGAGTCCCAGTGAGTTCACTCCCTCTGTGCAGTGCTGTGGGCCCTCTTCCACATGCTGTGTGCTTCAGGAGTGCTGGGGACACCTTACCTTCATTGCTCTCTCCAGGTGGGTGGTAGAAGGACAGTCCCAGGGAGATGATGGCCGCGATTTCCAGGATGATAAGTGTCACGTCCTGCAGTGCTTCCCACACCAGCTGCAGGAAAGTTTTTGGCTTCTTTGGAGGTATGAAGTTTTGCCCAAAAATCTGTTTCCTCTTTTCCAGGTCAGGAGCGGTGCCTGGCAAACCTGTGGACACAGGACAGACAGTTGGGTGGGGGCCAGAAGAGATGCATGCCTATCACTAGGAGCTAAGGAGGGAGCGAGGAAATGTGGCTGGAACCTTCCAGGCATTTGGCCTAGGAGCCCAGTATTCCAAACTATTCATGTCCTGAGGGGGCCACTGATAAGTGAATGGAGGAACCCAGAAACACAGATGCTTCCAGACTCATGGTGGTATCCATCCCCATGGATATGCATCTCATACACATGACTCTGGACATCAGAGCTCAGCCCAACCCACTTCAGCTCAGCACGGTCATACTACACAATGCCCCCTTCAGCTGAGAAATTCTTAGCCAGACCATTGTAAGCTGGGGAATCTGTGTGTATTCAAGCCTAACTCCCAGGACCTGGATCAGTGACCTGCCTGGAGATGAGACTAAGGCCAGAGCATCTTAAATTACCTAGGCGTCCCTCTGTCCAGAGATAAGTGTCCTTATGGGTAATACTGACTCAGGCAGGGAGACAGCTGTGTAAGAGGATGGGCAGAGATTGGAGGGACACAGCTACAACCAAGGACACCACAGAGTCACCAAATGCTAAAAGAAGTTGGGGATGGCCTCTCCTGATGGGTCTAGGGCAGAGTCTGGCCAACACTCTGGTCATGGACTTCAGAGCTGTGAGAGAAGCCATTCCTGGCTCAAGGCTACCTAGTGTAGGATATTCTGCTCCAGTGAGCATGGGGGCAACCATGCAGCCGGCTTCTTCCCTGGTCTGAGTTACCATTTCTTAAACACGGCAGAGCTTGCAGTATTATTTCATTTTCCACAATGAGCCTCCTCTGGCCTTTGAATAAAGCCTGACCCTTAGTTTCCCTTTCTGCTGTGACGATGACAATGGTGGCAGTGAGGGCACCTGACTCATATGCTCGGGTGTTGCTCAAGTCAGCAAGTTTTCTTATGCACCAGTGCAGTGTGCAGCCCTGCAGCAGATCCTGTGCAGTGTACAGCCCTGCAGCAGATCCTATGCAGTGTGCAGCCCTGCAGCAGATCCTGTGCAGTGTACAGCCCTGCAGCAGATCCTGTGCAGTGTACAGCCCTGCAGCAGATCCTATGCAGTGTGCAACCCTGCAGCAGATCCTGTGCAGTGTGAAGCCCTGCAGCAGATCCTGGGGCAGTGTGCAGCCCTGCAGCAGATCCTGTGCAGTGTACAGCCCTGCAGCAGATCCTATGCAGTGTGCAGCCCTGCAGCAGATCCTGTGCAGTGTACAGCCCTGCAGCAGATCCTGTGCAGTGTACAGCCCTGCAGCAGATCCTATGCAGTGTGCAACCCTGCAGCAGATCCTGTGCAGTGTGAAGCCCTGCAGCAGATCCTGGGGCAGTGTGCAGCCCTGCAGCAGATCCTGTGCAGTGTACAGCCCTGCAGCAGATCCTATGCAGTGTGCAACCCTGCAGCAGATCCTGTGCATGTGCAGCCCTACAGCAGATCCTGTGCAGTGTGAAGCCCTGCAGCAGATCCTGGGGCAGTGTGCAGCACTGCAGCAGATCCTGTGCAGTGTACAGCCCTGCAGCAGATCCTATGCAGTGTGCAACCCTGCAGCAGATCCTGTGCATGTGCAGCCCTACAGCAGATCCTGTGCAGTGTGCAGCCCTGCAGCAGATCCTGGGGCAGTGTGCAGCCCTGCAGCAGATCCTGTGCAGTGTACAGCCCTGCAGCAGATCCTATGCAGTGTGCAACCCTGCAGCAGATCCTGTGCATGTGCAGCCCTACAGCAGATGCTGGGGCAGTGTGCAGCCCTACAGCAGATGCTGGGGCAGTGTGCAGCCCTACAGCAGATGCTGGGGCAGTGTGCAGCCCTGCAGCAGATCCTGTGCATGTGCAGCCCTACAGCAGATGCTGGGGCAGTGTGCAGCCCTACAGCAGATGCTGGGGCAGTGTGCAGCCCTGCAGCAGATCCTGTGCAGTGTGAAGCCCTGCAGCAGATCCTGGGGCAGTGTGCAGCCCTGCAGCAGATCCTGTGCAGTGTACAGCCCTGCAGCAGATCCTATGCAGTGTGCAGCCCTGCAGCAGATCCTGTGCATGTGCAGCCCTACAGCAGATGCTGGGGCAGTGTGCAGCCCTGCAGCAGATCCTGTGCATGTGCAGCCCTACAGCAGATGCTGGGGCAGTGTGCAGCCCTGCAGCAGATCCTGTGCATGTGCAGCCCTACAGCAGATGCTGGGGCAGTGTGCAGCCCTGCAGCAGATCCTGGGGGCAGTGTGCAGCCCTGAAGCAGGTACTGTGCAGTATGCAACCCTGCAGCAGATCCTGGGGCAGAGTTGAGAATGAGACAGCACAGCACCAGCTCCCATGGACACACACACATGCATTATTGTGAGGTCCATCTTGAGGTCAGCAGACACTCAGTTGGTCTGATTGAGTCTTCAATCCCCCTGAAGCTCTGTGGTTCTAATGATTGACAAATGGTGGACAATGTGGGAATCAGTTCTGGGGGGGGGGTCGGGTCAGGCCACAGCTCTGTGGTTCTGTTCTGCTGGGGACCCATAGGCCAGATCCTAAGAACCCAGGTTCTGTGTCAACAGACAGGGACTGCAAATGCCACAACTGAGGGCCAACGAGTGAAGTGGGGGTGGGGGTGGGGGTGGGGGTGGGGTGGTGGGGGGTGGGGGGTGGGGGTGGTGGTGGTGGGTGTGGTGGGTGTGGGGGGTGGTGGGGGGGTGGTGGGGGTGGGGGTGGGTGTGGGGGGTGGGTGTGGGGGTGGTGGGGGTGGTGGGGGGGTGGGGGTGGGGTGGGGGTGGTGGTGGGGGTGGGGGTGGTGGTGGTGGGGGTGGTGGGGGGGTGGGGGTGGTGGTGGGGGTGGGGGTGGTGGTGGGGGTGGGGTGGTGGGGGTGGTGGGGGGGTGGTGGTGGGTGTGGGGGTGGTGGTGGGGGTGGGGGGTGGTGGGGTGGTGGGGGTGGGGTGGGGGTGGGGGTGGGGTGGGGGTGGGGTGGGGGTGGGGGTGGGGTGGGGGTGATGTAGGCAATCAGGAGCAGTGAAGACTAAGGCAAAGAGCATATTGGCTCATGGGATCCAGTGGAGACATCTTCCAAGCTTTCATAAATCAGAAGGCTGGAATCTGATACAAGGGCTCCCACTGGAGATGTTTTGGAGCCAAATTCTACATCCCTGCGGGCGGGCTGGGTCCCAGTGTGAGCTGTCCAAAGTCATGTGACTAGCAACTGGAGGCTACAAACTGCCACATTACCATGGCCTCTACTGACTTCCACAAACAACTGCACACTCAACACTGCCACTGCCTGCCATGTCCCCACTGCCACCACCCCTACCTACTGCTGTCCTGGGCCTGGAACGTTGGGCACGTCTCTCCTTGCCGTGATAGAGATGGAACCCAGCACCTTGTGTGTGCTATGCAAAATGCTGCACCAGGAGCCAGGCCCCAGCCTGTGTGTGCCTGGCTTAGCTGTCAGCACCCCTCCCCCTGAGGCAGGGGACTTGGCTGTAGCTATCTTTCCTTGCTGTTCATGACCCTGAGTAGCTTTTACACTCTCTGGGTGGGGGAGGGCTGGTGACCCTGGGACTACTGTGTTTGAGGGTCGCTGAATCACACACAGCTCTGACAGAGCTTTGTACATAGTCAAGTTCCTGGGCCATGCTGTGCAGAGTACATGCTGCACACCAAGGCATAGGGTCCTGCTCTGGTGAAGGCCAGTGAGACAAGCCCAGCAGCCACCGGACTCTCGAGGGGCAGCCTGAGCAAGCTTCTGCATAGAGCCCACAGTGCCTGAACCCGATGATGGGTCCATGGCAGCCTGGGCCACCAGCCCCCTAGGTGTCTAGGGCATTGACACCTAGGTCGCTTCAGGGCCCTGCTACTTACATTCAATAAAACAACAGTGGTTCAAACTAGACTGTGACTAAGAGGCTTCAGATGACAGCTGTGGGACCTAGCATGAGTTGGAGACTGTGGGCGCCTGCACATGTGATCAAGGAGGGTGTGGTGGGGCTGGGACCCTGTTATAACTTGGACGTGATTCAGTGATAACAACAGCACTAACAGCTGGGCTGGTGTGCACAATGGGCATTTACAGCTGTGTGGTGTGGCTGTGGGAGGAGTCCCTAGGCTCTACCCCTTGCCAGAGGCTAGCCCAATGGGCAGCTCCCAGGAAAGTACTACTAGGGGCTTGCAGCAATTGGTGAAATACGATGAGATGCTTGGACTGCTCTTGGTCCTGTGCCCTTGGGCAGATGGCCTCTCCTCCGGGGCCCATTTTCCTTGTGCCAGGCATTTGAATGACAGTAATGCTTGCCTTTTCTGTGCTCAGAGTGGCAAAGGACCCAGAGGCTGTTAGCTGTGAGTACTGTCATTATGAGCCACCTACAAGGTATGTGGTGTCCACCTGGCCCCGCACTGTAGTCACTGGGACATTTAAAAGTGTATATTTACCCCCAGACCCCAATGCCAGTTTTTGACTGAACTGGGCAGGGCCATGTCTTAAGGTGGAAAGAACTCCCCAGGAACTCGCTGTGCTGCTGGGCTGTGGTGGTCCTCTGACCAGAAGCCTCTCCCAGGAACTGGAGGAAATGCAAGTTCTCGGGTGCCACCTGGGCCTGCTGCATAGGTCTCTGTGTGGGCCTGCCACCTGTGTGGTTACCAGTTTCCTCAGAAGGGGGTAGTACAGGCTCTGTGTAGAGAGCTGCTGGTCTGCAGAGGCAAGACAAGACTGCTAGGTGATCTCTGGCCCAGGGTTTCTGGGAGCCATGACATGTGTAGACCTTGGATCGCTGACCAGTCCAATGAGAACAGCAACTGGTCCAGATTATAAGGTGGTGGGTGACAGAGTCTGTACCCAACAAAGCAGCTCTTTGCTCAGTTCTGCAGTGTTTCCAGCTCCCATGTGAGCTGTCTTACTTCTTTTAAGCAGCTGCCAGCTTCATAGCCTCTAGAACACCTGATGCAGAAAGTGCATCAGGCTGAGAACTTGACAGCCCCAGACATGGGACTGAGGAAGACTAGAGGAGGAAGCTAG